TGGAGCACCAGTCCAAACCACATGGGTTTTATTCCTGGCTGGGCCACTGGCCGACTCAGTGAGCTCGCGTAAGCCACGTCGCCCCCTTGTGCCTCGGTTTTCCCAGCTGTGGAATGGAGAGAACCTTTGCAAAGCTCTTGGAGAGAAGCATGGATGAAAAGCCATGGAAGATGGAGCACCAGTCCAAACCACATGGGTTTTATTCCTGGCTGGGCCACTGGCCGACTCAGTGAGCTCGCGTAAGCCACGTCGCCCCCTTGTGCCTCGGTTTTCCCAGCTGTGGAATGGAGAGAACCTTTGCAAAGCTCTTGGAGAGAAGCATGGATGAAAAGCCATGGAAGAACGAGCCAGTAGAATGATCGTAGGGGCAGCTTTCAGCTGGGTCTACCTGCCCCTTTGCTCTCCGTTTGAAGCCTGCCGCGGGCTCTCAACGACTCCATGCGCTCACCTGCATTATACGCACCCCTGCCCCAAAGGCAGCTTCCCAAGGAGCACCCAGCAGCCAGTCTGGGCACCGCCGGCCTCAGGCCACTCTCACCAGTTTCTGGAGGGAAGAGAGCTCCTCTGGCAGGTAGCACAGGCCGGTCCGGTTCAGCTTCAGCCATCGCAAGCTGGTCATGGACTTCACGTGGTCCGGAAAATAGCCACCCTGAGAGGCGGGAGAGAGAAAGAGCCACGCTGGGCATCCGCTGGGCAGGGAAACGGGTTTCTCATCCAGACGGGGCGGTAGGATCCTGTGCTCTTAACACCCTCCCCACACCGCAGGGGGGAACCACTCGCGGCCCCTTTTCCGGGATCCCTGCCAAATGCACCAATGTGACAGGCTGTTCCAACAGCGCGGGACTTACTGTAACTAGGGATGTTAGATCCCATGTAATCGAATAGTCGTGGAACCGCAGCATTTTAGCGGTCACACGATTATTTGATAGTCCCTGGGGACTCACACCGGGGAGCCCCCCGCCGCCCCACATGGCTGCCTCTGTATCAGAGGCAGCAGCGCAGAACAGCAGCAGACCCTGTATGCAGGGGTCTGCGCTCGCCACGGATAGAGGCTGTGCCAGCATCCTACGGAGCAGCCTCTGTCTGCAGCAAACCTGGCTCTGCCCCGGGCAGCAGCCTCTCTTGCCCCCCTGCCTCCCCCACACTGCCCTGGGAGCCAATCCTGAGCGGAGCAGCGGTCGGGCAGGTTATGCAAGATTAGGGGGCTGGGAGGCAGCATGAATCCCGTGGACGGACACTCGCAGGCCCCGATTCTGCCGAGGCTCAAGCACACGTGTAGCTTCATTCACAGGAGTTTGCTCCTCCCACGAGGGTGTTGTGCCCCAGTGTCGGTCACTGTGCGAGCCTGGCCTTAGCAGGCGTTTTGCTACCGCTGGTGGAAGGTTTCTAACTAGCAGCCTCCCCATCCAGGGAGAGGAGGGGCAGGCAGACCCACGCACCTGCGGGAAAGGGCCTCTCCCCCATGCAAAAAGATTAACCCAGATTGTGCAACTGCATTTGAAGGGCCTGTTTAGCGGCAGGTTTCACACCCCCCCCAGCCACATCACAAAGAAACCCTGCGCCACCCCCAACCATACCAACGCAGGCCCACCGGCATGCGCCACGCCCAAGGGCCATTACTCGGATCAACAGCCTTCTAGGGCAGATCTGCCAACGCTGCCATGGGAGGGCTCCGGTGCTGGGGGAGGTTAATTGCAAAGGAAGAACCTGAATTTTAACCTCACAGGAGGGAGCATCTCTGCATGCCCCATCCAGGGCCGGCAGAGCGGCCATCCTGCTCCTCAGACGCGGTGCCTGGCAAGGGCCGGCATGAGCTCATTTCTCTGCCTGGCCCGGTTACAGTTTCACACACGGTAGGAGTCAGCGTGAGTGCAGCACATGGACTCATAGCTCCTTAGTGTCACAGGGAGATTATACAGGCCCAAACTGTGGGTCACGTCACAGCACCGGGCAAAGCTGGCTGAGTCACTTAAGTCACACGCAGACCAGCAAAACCACCATGGCCAAGGGCAAGCGATGGGCACAGGGAAACAGGCTGACCAGAGAGCATAGCCAAAGGACCACCAGCAGCACGGTCACTCCCTGGTCAGAGGTTAGGCTGGGGAAATAGATCCCAGGAGGCAAAGCAAGTGAGGGATCAGAGCAGGGTTGCATTCCCAATTCTGCCAGCGTGACCTGGGGCAAGCCCTTTCATCGCTCTAGGAGGGATTTTCTACCAGCAGCTCGCCATCTTTTTCCTTCCAAGGCCTCTTTCCCCAGAGCTATAAAAACTCCATGGCCCAGCTGTGTTAGTTAGCACAACTGTTTTCCCGCATATAAAAGCCAGGGGCAGCAAGAAGGGGCCCCGGCCCCACATCTTAGGGGCTCTATGACGCTTCGTTTCTCAGGTTTCAACTTCAGTCCGGGGGTGCCCATAAACTTCAACTCCACCCAGAGTAGCTTTGGCTTTCTCGCTCGGACCCTAGAAACCTGCTGGGGTCCCCCACGCCGCGGATGGAGAAGGGCTGATTTACAGAATCCTTGCCCCTCCTCACAGGGACCAGGAGGAGATGCGATTAGTTTCAGTGCGGGGCGCCCTGAGTAAAAATGTTTCAGGGGGGCAGCCGAGTGAGTCTGGAACAGGAAAAACTTTAAAAACGACCCATAGTCTGTAGCCAGGAGGCCCATCACCCCCCAGAACCAGGGGCTCTGAAATTGCCCGGCCTCTCTGGCAACCCCCCCTGCTCTGGCCAGGCCAGCTCGGCCCCCTCCCAGCGGGATGTCAGGCCCCACAGTGCAGCCAGGGCTGAGCCACTGTCTAAAATTAGCCAGGCAGGAAACAGGCAGGGCCTAGAGGCTGGGAGCTGCCCAGCCACCTCCCTGTCTGTCGCCCAGCCCCGGGCTTTGCCCGCAGCCCAGCCCAGGGTGGGGGGGGCCCTGCGGTACCTTGAAGTCGTTCCCACTCAGATCGACCCCCCGGATGAAGGGGAGCACCCCGGTGGCAGCCATTGCTCCGCTCCGCAGCAGCTGCAGCCAGCCGGCGGCAGGGCAGGGCGTGTTGCATTGACACCCAGCCTGCGCTCGCTCTTTTAACCCCTTCCTTGCCAGGGGCGCTGCAAGCCTCCCAGGGACCTTTGCTTTTAAACAGCCCCCTCCGGGAGGAGACGTGATCGCAGCTGCCTGCCTCCGCCCCTGTGGGGGGAGAATCCCCCTTTCTGTGGTCCTGGGGGAACCTGCCCCATTCTACCTTCATTGTTGCCTGCGGCTGAGAAGGCTTTTAAGGGGCTACTACCCCCCCCCCCGTTCTCCTGGAGCCCCCTGGAACAGTGGGAGGGCGAGAGAATGTTAATACTATTGGGAAGGATAGTGGGGCAAACTGCTAGGAAAATAACAGCCAGCTCTGGCCGATCTCAGAGGGCTTTACAAGCAAGGTCAGTATCACACAAAGGAAACTGAGGCAAGGGGCTTTCCCAAAGACAGCCCACTGGGGCTAGAACCCCACTGTAGGTCTCTCATCAAGGGTTACAGAGCCTAGGAAGGTTATCAGGTTTTAGGGTCTCACCTAGGCTTATGTAGCTGGGCCTATTGACTGTAATGCATTTAATTGTCTGCATTTAATGAAATGCAGTACAGTCAATAGGCCCAGCTACATAAGTCTAGGTGAGACCCTAAAAGGGGGGCCCTGTGATCCAGGCCCGTGCCTGTGTAGACAAGAGGAGACAGGTTATTAACAATAATTAATAAATATTAATAATTAATAACACAGTGCTGTCTCATTGGGGTCCCTCTCTGTATCTACCCGCTACCTCGTCTCCTACTCAGATCTTAAGCTTTTGGGGGCTGGCTGGGGCCCTCTTTTGGTTCTGTGTTTGCACAGCACTCAACCCAGTGGGCTGATCCTGTTCCAGGATTGGGGCTAGATACTCTTGCCACCTCTGAGCTACCCCAAACCCAGAACATCCAGGAAGATCCTGGGCCCATAAAACTGCACTGAACACCCGTCTCCCATTCGCAGGGCAGCTCACTCCAAAAAAGCAAGCAAAGGGTAGGGAACCTGCAGGTGACAGCTGTAGGAAGGCCCACAGGATGCAAATGCCTGCCTTAGGATCCCTGTTCCTAGTGGTGACAGGGTAGGGGGTGTCCAGGGCGGATTTCTGCACTGTCCCCCCTCCCTCGCGGAGTCTCTGTCAGCTCTGCATATAGGCCCCTCTACTACCCGGGTAGGACTAAGCGAAACCCCCAACCCCACCACATCCTCAACCCCTTCCTGCTTCTGTCCCGCTGCGCCTTTAAGGCGAAGAATTGCCGGGCTCCGCCCACGTGTGACGAAGCCGAGGCGAGGGGCGGGGCGCAATTGGCAACCGGAGGCTCTCGTTACATTTCGGAACGTTGGGACAACAGGCGGGCGCTCCTATTGGCCGCCTCGGCCCGACCGAATGTGACTGTCGCCGACGTTCGCTGGGGATCGGCCGTAGGGGAGCCGCTGCTGCAGTAACCGCGGGGCCGGCCGAGGCTTGTTCCAGCCCCCGGGGCCCGGGCCTTGCCGGGACCCGCCTTCCCCCGCCGCAACATGCCCTGACCTAGCGGGGCTCGCTGCTCAAGGTGAGTGCGGCCGCGCCGCTCCCGGCACCTGTCGGTGAGTTCCCGGGGCCTCTGGCTTAGTCTGGGGGCAGCCTAACGAGGTGTGAGAATCTAGAGCGGGGGCCCAGTGATCCAGGCCCGGCGGAGGGGCGACACAGCTGGGGGGCTGGATCCAGGTTCAGTAGGGGAGGCACAACTGAGGGGGTCCCTGTAATCCAGGCTTGATGGGGGCGGCACAGCTGAGAGGGGGGCCCTGTGATCCAGGCCCGGTGAGGGGCGGCACAGCTGACCGGGCCTGGGGGGGGGAACACAGCTGGGGCAGCTTTCTGTGATCCAGGCCGCTGTCTCCGTGCTATCTTTTGTTTTTTACAGCAAGGGCACGTGTGGGGAGAGCAAAGTCCAGTTCCTCCTCCGTAGCTGCGCAGGTTGGGCTGGTGTCACAAGGGGATGGGGCGCGTTGAGTTAGGGTGCGGGAGGTGGGGGCAGCTTTGCTATTTCCTGTCCAGCTAAAGAAGGCCGCTGGGCATTTCTGACAGCACGTATCCAGTCCCGGCTGGGATCTGGCGTTGAGACCCTTTGGCTCTCTGGCCACACTATATCTACAGCTATCCATGGCTCCTTGTTGGCAGATACGGATACAAATTTGGTATCGAGAACCCTGCTACTTTGCCGTTATTTGCTTTATACCTATGGGTATCCACAGATGTGGGTGCGAATATCTGCAGAGCAGTTTTGCAGATGGGAATATAAATTTGGATCGGTGCTGGCCTCTGTTTATGTTTGAGGGACTAATAGACGAATTTCTACCCTCCAACCCAATTCCCTTGATGAGCCTGTTACATGTTCAGGGCCTTGTTGATTCCTTGATCCAGTTTTTGCCCTGTTGGGCCTATTTCAAACCGTTCCATTATTCACTGGAAAAAACCTGAAAGCTTGAACTCACAGACCGGCTCCCAGCACAGCCCCGCTTGGCATTCTTGCTTGTGAGAGTTGTGTGCTGCTGTACCAGAGCGCCTTCTGGGGCAATAGGTATGCCTCCCAGTAGAGGTGTGACTGGGGAACTGGTTACCCAGTACGTGGGAGCAGCCTGATGTGCACAGAGGGGCTGCTGTAGCCCCGTGGAGGGCCCGGGAGCTGGAACCAGCCTTCCCACACTTGGGGCTGTTGGTCCTTGCCCAGTGGAGCGTGTATTCTGAAACAGAAACTATGGCTGGGAAGTAGATTTTGAGCTCTTAATCCCTGGAGACTGTAGCCCCTAAGAAGCTGTTCCCATAGTGACATGGTGAAACTGAGTCATACTGGGATCATTACTCATGAGAGGTCTCTGCCATATGAGGAAAGGACACAGATGAAGTGTGGGTTTCAAACTCTAGAAGTCTGAGCTGCCGTGTTCACTGTGCACTGTCCCGATGCCGCAGGGGTCTAAGAATTTGGCTGCGGCCCATTTGCTGCCAAGCAGCAGTGGGGAAGAATCGCGCCTGGCCTGAGAAGTGACGTGCATGGTGGTCTCTTCTGTGGGCTGTGTGTGAATAATGCACAGCGGCTTGGGAAGAAACGGATTGTAAGTTTGCACTGTTAAACTGAGAGGAGGGATAAAGCTGGGTGGAAGTAGGACCAGACGGCTCCTTGATTGCTGGGGCTATGAGGTGTTCACACCCTTGTTTTGTTCACTGGCTGATGGCAGCAGAATCTCCATGCGAAGGGGTGTGTGAGGTGCCTTTACCTTGAATGGACTTGAAACTCCTTGAGTTATCTTACACCGTGCCCACAGTGCATTTGTATGGGAGTCCCGTTTGATGCTCTGTAATTCCCTGTGTCCTTTCATCTGGAGCTTCATGACCCACGGGGTTATTTTTCCCATCTTGCAGATGGGGAAACAGAGTCACGGAGGTCACGTGACTTGATCGTGGCACAGCAGAGTATCATTAGTGGTTTGGAAGAGAACCTTGGATTCTGAACTCCCGGCCTCCTGCTTGGGCTACCGACTTCAAACTGACAAACTTGTCTAGAAACTGAATTCAAGCCCCATCTCAATCAATAAATTTTCCATCACAAGTCAGAAAACCCTGTTGCACTAAATAACCTCCCTTTTTTTTAGTGTCATTGTCTCTGTCACATTTACAGGGCAGGGTTCAGTAATTTGTGGGGGATACAATGTAGCAGAAACGTGTGAAATGGAAAACTTCTCTGATCACCAAGTGTTGGTTATTGAGACTGTTCTAACAACTTGAAGGCAGTTCTAGGTTGGGGGGAGGAAGGCATGGAGCTGAGTGGGAAGGCTGTGATAAGGAAGACGAAGGGGGAAATGGAGATGCAATTCTGTATAGCCAGGAAGGTAAGTGTGAAGAAGCTATCAAAGGGCCAAAGAGATCTTCTAGGTCCATTCCCTGCTTGGTCTCAGTTAGATTAAATGTCGCAGCTAATGGACCATCTGCTCCTTCCCCAGGGATGCTGTTCCACAAACGAGTAGATCGTTTTGGAAGGAAAATTTCCATGTTCTTCAATGTTCCCAAAGGTTCCACCAAGTCACCTTGGACCCCAGGTGCATCACCTTGTGTGTTTCTCTCTCTCTGCAGGTGGAGCATGGCTGAGCTGGTTCATAAAAGGGGGAAGAGGCGGGATGACAACGGGCTGGGTGGTGCTGTTGACTTCCTGTTGGCCAATGCCAGACTGGTGCTTGGGGTGGGCGGTGCTGCTGTGCTGGCCATTGCAACTCTGGTGGTGAAACGGGTAAGTCTGGGTTCCTCTGGAAGATAAACTAGTGTCCCTTCGGCACTCGTCAAGCTGTGACTTGTGCATGGGGGCTTCAGGGACGTAACTAACTTACTTAACAAAAGAGCTAATCTCCCAGGTTGCAAAGGAATAAGACCTTGCAATGCATGCAACACCAAAGCAGCAGACTTTCCGTCCATGTCTCTTTCCATGCAGAACTTGCCCTTCAGGCAGGAGGGAAGGGTAGCTCAGTGGTTTGTGCATTGGTCTGCTAAACCCAGGGTTGTGAGTTCAATCCTTGAGGGGGCCATTTAGGGATCTGGGGCAAATCTGTCAGAGGTGGTATTTGGCTCTGCCATGAGGGCAGGGGATTGGACTCAATGACCTCTCCAAGGTCCCTTCTAGTTCTATGAGATAGGTATATCTCTATTTAAGCAGAGTAGAAGCCCTGCATGTGATACCTGTGTGGTCAAAGGTTACAAAACCTGTTGGGTGTATTTTTTGGGAGGCAGGAGAATTATTACAGGGGAAAGGAAGATAAAGCATCTGGTCTCCATCATTCTTCTCAGCCCTGGACACCAAAATGTCCCTGAACTCTGCCTGTGAATGTGATTCAGCTTTTTATTAAAGGAAAAAGAACGTTTTGGCTTTCTAAACGTAACAGGGTGCAAGATTTTCTCATTTAGAACAGGGTGAATTGCTTTCAGTCAAATAGATTTAAATGACGGATTTTCAATTACGTTTTGCACTTGTACTATCTAGTTATGTTCCTAAAGAAAAGTTGAGTCTCATGCTTGGTTACCGTTTGTTCTTCTGTTGATTTGCAGCTAAATCTAGGTGTTAAGTTTGGTTGTTCTTTTTTACTAACCAGGAGGATACATTGTACCTATACACATTTATTGAAGCAATTGTGTAGCTTAACCTATTTTTTTTTAATGTTAGATGAAGGTGCATGATGCATTCCTTTAGTACAGTGGTTCCCAATCTTTTCGGCATCACGCCCCCTTCTTGATTTTTGAGAAACCCTCACGCCCTCCCCCCTCCCAAAAAAGCAGCAAAACTTGGGGTGGAATTGACCGGGACGTGTGTGGCTGGGTCGCCTCACGCCCCCCCTCCTGGAATTTCTTCATGACCTCCGGGGGGGGCACACCCCCAGTTTGGGAACCCATGCTTTAGTAGAATAATTTTTTCCCCTTGTGACTTGTCAAATTCCAGTTGGATTCAGTTACACTTGCACAAAACCCGCATTTAAATGTATTACCTGAAACTTCCTTAAATGTGCCAGATGTTAATTTTAAATGCAAAATTTGTAACTCTGTTAAACCAAAGTAGTATTAGTTGTAGTTAGTGAACTGAATGGATTATTTCTGGCTGTTACCTCCAAGATTTTAGGTCCCCTCCCACTTAGTTTTCATCGATAAATGGAAGAGAGAAAACAGGCTCTCCGGGTTTTTTGGCTCCAATTTGTGCCTGGTCTTTGTATGAACTAATCATTGAACTGAATGAGCTGAATAAGCTTGAAATAAAGAAAATATTTTCTGAGTCTGTGGAAGAGGCTACTGCTGTCAAAAGCAATTTTTCGCTTCCTCAAACTCTGGTTCTAGGGGCTATGCCAGAGATGTCCATTGGTGTGCTGGTTTGACCGTCTTTTTAAAACTTGGCAACAAATATGTACTGTTTAATGTTCCTTATGGTGTTCAAATAATTAGGCCTGAACATAGGTTGCCAATTGCAAATTAAATGTTAATTTTTTTTTTAAATATCATCCTCATTTTCATCTAAACTAAGGAAAATCTGATTTTAAAAAAAAATCTAAACTTTAATCCACTCTCATTAGAGAATTAGGAGTGAGGATTCGGAGGGAGAGAAATGACGGTGTTCTAGCTCTATGTTCACCCCTGTGATTGTCTAGAGTCTCTGTTTGTCTGGTGTGGACATTCTGATTTCTTATAGTTAGACTGAGATCTAGTAAATTCCTTCACAAGGGGGAGGAAAAAGCTGATCTGTGGATGCAGCTCTGAAACAAGCCATTAGTCTGCAGCACCAATTAATCTGTGGTTCCAAGTCCTCATTGTATTCTCAGCAGGCCTAGATGTGTTCTCTCTACATCCAGCCCGTGGGAGCGGGGGCTGGAATGCTGCTTGCTGTCTATCCTCTTTGTTCTGTAGTGCTGACAGCTGAGCATCTTTCATGAGCAGACAAAACTCGTGTGAAAACTAAATAGCCCTGTACAGGACAATCCACTTCTGGTTGGATGGCTGCTTTGGCAACAGAGATGGGGTTAGTCAGTCAGGGAGAATAGCTGGTAGGAGCCTTGATGCTGCTGTGAACCTTCATTCTTCCATTTGGTCCCACAGCTGATAGACCGAGCCACCAGCTCGCCTGACGAGGACAAGGCTAAGGCAGACCAGAAGTCCATCGAGGAGAGCTGGCAAGATCTGAGCCTGATCAAGGCCGTGCCGAAGCCACCAAAGAAGCAAAGCCGGGCAGATCTCAGCGAGTCTCAGCTGTCCCTGACTGCAGTCCTACCTGCCCAAGGTCAGGATGGATGTTGTTTCCTTACTCCTCCTAACGTTCAAGTCCCAGACCGGGTTAAAACACCTGTCCCAGGCGTTCACTGAGTGGCTGCCCTCAGGCAACCTCTTGGTTTCACATTGATTGTTCAAGTAATGCTCCGCTCCATGACTACATAAGAACTCCTCCACCCTCAGAAAGCCACAAAGGGTCCCCCAACATTTTAAATCACAGGGGTCCTCAGGTTGCTTAAAGTTTGAGAACCCCTGATTTGGAAGAATAACCCCTTTGTGCAGTCTGTGCACTGGTCACATGGTTTTCTTAATGGGGGATCACAACCTGATGTCATGAAAGGCATTCAGAGAGGGCTACTGAAAGCAGAGAAATCTCATGCCTCCCACAGCTTTGCCCCCACCAGGTCCAATATTTTGTCTACGTTCACGCGCGCACAAACACACACACATGATGTAGGCTTCTTAGACACCTTGTTTCGCTTGTTAGAGCAGTGAATCTCAGCGTGCATGTATCTGTGAGGGTACACCGAGGTCTTCCGGGAGGCACATCCATGACGTTTTCTAATTGTCATAAGATATTTTCATAAAGTAATAAAATAGCAGCAAAACTTGCTGAGCAAAAAAAAAAAAAGAAAGAAAAGAACTGACTGGGGCAGCAAAACTTAATGGGGGAGGGGGAGCTGGGACACCTCGCACTCCCCCTGGAATTTCGCCCCTTCCCCCCCCAGTTTGGGAACCCATGATCTAGATGTTGGCTTAGTTTTATAACAGGTTGTGTGTGTTTAAAAAAAAAAAAAAACACTAGTGAAGGCAGGACAAACTGGAATTCAATATAGACAATGACTTGTTTATACTGCTCTGTCTGCTGCCTGCTGAAATGTAAGTACAACAGCTATATTCTAATTTTTTCCATACAATTATGAAATCAAGGGAAACGCCATTTTTCAGTACCGGTGTGCCGTGGCGCTTTTGTATTTTTATGGCTGATCTTTGTAAGCAAGAGGTTTTTAAACAATGCGGGAATACGTAAGACAAATCCGATTCCTGCAGGGGTGCAAAGTAGTCTGGAAAGGTTTAGAGCCACTGTTCTGTAGGAAACGTAAGGGGGTTGCAAAATGCCTTGCCACGGGCCGAGGGGTCATGGACCTGAACCGGTGGAGAAACGGTGGTGGGGACTGTTTGGAACAGACAGGTAGTCGGTGCAGAAATGAATCATAGAATCATAGGACTGGAAGGGACCTCGAGAGGTCATCTAGTCCAGCCCCCCGCCCTCAAGGCAGGATCAAGCTTCGTCTACACCATCCCTGACAGATGTCTATCTAACCTGTTCTTAAATATCTCCAGAGAGGGAGATTCCACCACCTCCCTTGGCAATTTATTCCAATATTTGACCACCCTGACAGTTAGGAATTTTTTCCTAATGTCCAATCTAAACCTCCCCTGCTGCACTTTAAGCCCATTACTCCTTGTCCTGTCCTCAGAAACCAAGAGGAACAAATTTTCTCCTTCCTCCTTGTGACACCCTTTTAGATATTTGAAAACCGCTATCATGTCCCCCCTTAATCTTCTTTTTTCCAAACTAAACAAGCCCAGTTCATGAAGCCTGGCTTTATAGGTCATGTTCTCTAAACCTTTAATCATTCTTGTCGCTCTTCTCTGTACCCTTTCCAATTTCTCCACATCTTTCTTGAAATGTGGCGCCCAGAACTGGACACAGTACTCCAGCTGAGGCCTGAAGATATTCTGATGCACCAAGCAGGACAGTGGTAATGGGATGTGCCCATCTAGGTGACTGTTTAGCTTCAGCCAGTCTGGCAGGGATTGGAAGTCACTACTTTTCCGGCATGGCGGGCTTCCACACACGTCATTACAGCTTTTAGGAGCTCCACCCCAGACCAGGTCTCCGGGGCGCTAGGTGCAGAACAAACTCCGAACAATAGGCAGCGACTGCCCCGGAGAACATGTGTAGTGGCCTTAGTCCAGTTCGTAATGTGTTGTGGATGTGTTCCTGAATCAAAAGCATCATCGTCGGTAGCTCTCCTGGTGGTACTTGAGGATACATCTGTGCTATGATAAGACTCATAGGGCAGCTGATGGGGGCTATAAAATTGCAGAGTAGAGGTTTGGGCTCAGAGATCATCCCCCCTCGTAGGGTCTCAGAACCCAGGCTCCAGTCCAAGCCTAAACATCTACATTGCCATTTTATAGTCCTGCAACCTCAGCCCAAGGCGGCCTGGCCCAGGTCAGCTGCATGTCTCTCATGGCAGGATGTATGCTGTGTTCAAAGGACCAGACCAGGCCAGGCCCAGGGCAAGTCACTAAGTCTTTCCTACTGAGGCTTTCCAGTGACCTGTGAGGGTGATCCCTGTCCCCGCATGGTTGTATACGGCTCGGTGGTGATCCTGGGTGTGCCCCCGCAAAGCTTCCAATGGTACTTTGCTGGCAGTCTCAGCTGAGAGGTCAAGGACTGGATGACCCTGAATATCCAGTGAAAATCTTGATGATCCTTCCAGGTCAGCAGCGAGACATGGCGGGCGCAGCTTGCCTGGGGCTAGCTTGCACTGCCGCTGCTTATGCTGTTGCAGTTCTGAGTGTGGATTCGGTCTGTAGCACTAACGATGAGTATTTGGGCTTGCCAGTGTCCTGTGTGGAAGCACTGACTAGTCTAACACGTCTCTTTATTCCCTTCCCAGCTGCAGAGCCTCAAGGCCAACCCAGCTCCCCGGAGATTCCCCAGGTAGAACCCAGGACGCTGCTTTGTCTCACATTCCAGGAGAAACTCCTCTCTTATTACAGAAACTACGTTGCCATCCCGGAGACGGAGGTCGCCCGTGGGAAGCAGCTAGCGAGGGACATCTGCATAGAACTGCAAAGCTTCCTGCAGAACAAATGCTCGGAACTGCCTTTCGGCAGCATGTACCTTGGGGGCTCGCTCTGTGATGACCTCCAGGTTGTGGCTGCCGACCATGTCTGCTTCATGCTGCCCTTGGTGTTTGAAACCACGCTCTGGAGCCTCATCCCAGGAGAGGACACCATCATAAAAGACCCCCAGTTTTGGATGATCCGGCGGACTGACCTGGAGTACATCCCTCGTGGGAGCAGCCCCTGGGACAGGTTCATCGTGGGCGGGTACCTCTCCTCCAACGCGCTCAATGAGGCGCTCCATAAAATGCTGGTGGCCTCTGTCAACTGGCCTGCCATAGGCAGCCTGTTGGACTGCATCATCAGACCCGTGGTGGCTTCTGAGGAGCTTCAGTTGGAGGTCACACACTACCAGACCCAGCTGAACATAACCCTCTGCCCAGTGACAGAAGCGGGGGATAAGATTCTTCTTGCCAACCCTCCAAAAGGACGTGTGGAAAACCTCTGGCGACAAAGCTTCTATAGGTCCGAGGTCTCCAAGCTTAAAGATCTGGATGCTGCAGACTCGGGAGCCAGGCAGTGCTGCCTCAAAATCCTAAAAGGGGTGTGTAAAAACCATCCCTTCTTGAGCAAACTGACCGGCAGCTTCCTGACTCACGTCCTCCTCCACCTCAGTGAAACCGAGTCCGACTGGGCAGAGGAGGCCTTGGCCGCGAGGTTCCAGCAAGCGATCGAAGAGCTGGTTGGCTACCTGGAGAGAAGCTCCCTCCCCTGCTATTTCAACAGCCACATTAACTTGTTCTGTGAGCTGCTGGAAGAGGAGATAGATGAGATGGGCTATGAACTCTACCGGGCTGTATCCGAGCCAGGCCTCTTGCTGCAGGAATGGGCGTATAAATGAATTGCTAGTCTGAGCGTGTCTCATCGTTGGTGGGTGGTGGGTGGTTTTTTTGTGTGCTTCTGTCTGTCCACTTCTCCAAGCCAAGTGGAATTGTGAAGCTTCTAACTTACGAGGTGTTACCAGGTGAAACCCTTGCACTTACTGAATGATTCACTCTTTCAATACCCAGTGCCTGAGGAAAGGGATGGGAGGTGGCATCTGGAGCCAGTCACTGCTGGGTCTCCAGTCCAGCTTGGACCATCCATTGCGTGTTGAAGTTGGATGACATGGGTTTGGCCCCTGTCAAACTGCCATCACAGTTGGCCCTGTCGCATGAAGAGGCGCAGGATTGAATGCGCCTGGAAGCATGGAGAGCCTCCCGCTGCCACTGCTGGTGCTGAACCCAGGCTCTGTACAAACTGGATTTCAGTCTCCAGGGCTCTCAATCCAGCCCCTTTCAGGAGCACAAAATTCACCCTGAAAGTGACAGGCTCTAAACTGCTGGAGTGGGGGCGGTGATGGAACCTGGTGTGTATTTGCAACCCCAGGATCTGGGCCATAGGAAGGGACAGGCCTGGGGGGGGAGAGATCAGGTGAAACTGATTATGCACCACAGGATATTGCCATAGCTAATCAAATCTCATTTGCTTTCTTCTGAAGCACTTCCAGTGTTATGAATGTAGCCTCCCACCAGGACAAGCTAACCCTAACGGGCGCTCTGTTCATGGGAGCTGTAATAGGAGGGGTTCCGTACCCTCAGTGTGTGTGTCTCTTTTAACGCTCCCTCCTTATGCACTTTTTACTTTAGCGGGGGCGCCACGGTGGGATTACTGGTGGGGCTTGCAGGAGAGAGACGAGTACTACAGGATAGGCCCATCTGCTTTGCAGAAACGAAGTGATTCTGAATCGTGCTACAGCTAGAGACACGTGCTGTAACTACTGCTCTTGGGCCCCAATGTCGTCCCCCCCTCCCGCTTTACAAAGACTGGGGACTGTCCCCATGAGCCAAGCTTTTCAGATCGAACCCTGTTTCATGCCTGTGGTGCTGCTGCCTAACCATCCTGCCCCTTCGAGGTCCCCAGTACGACTCTGCTCCCAGAAAGGGGCAGGATGGGGACAGTGAGTCTTACATCAGAAGGCTCCCTGTAGGCAAGAGCCGACTTGATTATTTTTATGTTTGTTTGTCTTCCTGCTAAGAATGAGTTTCCTTGAGCACGGCTGATGGTGTTACTTGGGTACCAGCTCTACCCAATACGAGGCAGACGTTTTCTGACTGTTCTCATGAATTCAGAACCGTGTTTGTTGTGCACTCTAGGGATGGAAAATAAACCTTTAGCCTTTTAATGTGAGCCTCTACCGGTGTGTAGTTTTCTCTGCAGAGATGGTATTGGGGAAAATCCAGTTCTGCGTGCACTGCGCTTCCCCCTCAATCAGATATTTCATCTCATGTTGGCAACAGGGTTTTGCTGCCTATCTGGGAACTCATGGCCAGCGTTCCCTGGAAGTTGTGTGCTTGGGCAGCCACCCAGGAGAGATTCAGGTGCTGCCCAGGTGATGAGTAGAGATGTAAAAGCCTAGTTAATCAGTTAACTGGTTAAACATTAGGTTGACCCAACAGTTAACCAACTAAAACAGGATCCAGGCTCGGGCCGGAGAAACTGCTGGGTCCCCATCAGAACAGCTCCCTGCCCATGGTGGGTCCCCCACAGGGCTCAAACAGCTCCCTGATTAGCAGAGAGCCCACAGCTAGGTTTTTTTTCTCTACAGGTGGTGCACATCCACATGCACCTTGATGCACAAAGTTTATTTCACACATGGCAAGAACAAATCGGGAACGCTGCTTATGGCTCTGGCTACCTGAGTCCCTGCTGCTTAAGGTGATGTGTAGGAATACAGTACGACTGTCCCTCTCCCACAGCCGTCTACGTCACATTTCACTCACAGCAATGGCAGCTCACATGTTGAGGGGCTCAGGCCTTTCATTCTATTTCACTGAATTCTGTAGCACACCAGGCATTTCTTGCTGCCTTCATCTTCCTGGAGAACATTATTTTAGACTCCCTTGTAGCACGTACATCAGTCTGTGCTCTTGCGTGCTTGTATATTGCTCTGGCAATTGGAGTCGTCAGCGGGCCAAATGGGCACACTAGCTGTAAACCTCGCTTTGTGTCAGGCGGTGAAACTGGCAAGAGACCAGCGTTAACGCTTTGAGCTGTGCGGCTGCAGAGGCTTTCTCCTGTGGATCGAATAGCTGGCAGCCAGCTTACGGCCATTGTCCTTTATAAGGACACTGACGAAAGTTCCGCTACTGTATTCAGCCTGTTCTGTGCTTGCTCTGCAACGCCTCTTTTAATCCTTCCAAGATATCCAGCCGCTCTGAGAGGTATATTTAGGTCACAGCTGCTCCTAACAGTAGGCGTGAGGGACTGAAGTGATGCTGTATTTCTGTTGACCTTTCTTTGAATATTTCTGCCAGATCCCAGGAGGGTTACTGCAAAGTTGAGTGATGGTGGGGAAGTGGCTACAATTCAACTTAAGGCAGGGGATGTGCCCTTCAAACCCTGAACATTTTAAAGTGGGGCTGTTTCCTTGGGCTTGCGTAGTTACTCCCCCAGTTCCTGAAGGGAGCATAATGTGACCAACACTACATAATTGATCAGAACAGCTTCTCTGACTCACATCACTGGTAGCAATTAATATTGCTTCTTTCCCTCCTGTCTGCTGCACCCGCAGCCTCTTCTCAGTGCTAGCCAAGGGATTCCTGGTTGTGCAGTTCTAGACTGCCTCACTTGCAGTGTCTGCGAAGGAAAGGGAAATCGGGGCTTTCCTCTAAGAAGCTCCACGACCTAGCCCAGGGGAGAGGTTCTTTCAGAGGTCCAGAAAAGCTGCAGGCTGAATGGCAAAGGACTTTAAACTGGGCTCATGTGCCCTCTTCTGCTGTGATGTATAAAAGCAATCGGACTCTTAAGGCCTTGTCTGAGCACTATCAAAATCAGCTCTGGTTCTGGAGGCAAGTATGTACAATGGTGGGATGGCTAAAGAACAGAAAGCTTCTTAACAGGGTGGAGAAAGGAAGAAAGTTGAATCGGCTGGAAGGAGACAGCTTGAGCCATTCAGCTTTCAGCTACTCGTAAATATTTTGTTAAGTCTTTAGACTGCAGCAGACAGACAATAAATGCAGCAAGCTAGGGACAAGTTCAGGCTTTTTCCTGCTGCAGATCACTTCTAAATAAAGCTCGCAAGACTGCCCAGAAAGTGGCCCTGTTGTTCCTGTAAATAGGGGAGTGGTGGAAACAGCTGCATTTAGGAAGTGAATTTTCAGCTGAGCCTACTTATGCAAGAAGCAGTTATGAGCAGAGATGGGGACACTGTTCCTGGGCATAATTAAGACACAGAGCGTAGGTAAAAGTTGGCATTTTTATTAAAAGGCACAACAATCTGACCAAAATAATTTGCCTTCACTGGCAGCTTCATTCAGTTCCCTTGCTCACAGTGTTCAAGGCATAGCTGGTTTTAAATTCAATAGCAGCTCAGGCAAGGGCTCTCTTGTTTGAGCACTTTCACTGAGTTCTCTCTTCAGGACAAGGGTGAGGCGTTATGTTCTCGACAGTTAGTTCTGTAGCCGCAAGGGCCAGCGATGTAGGAGGGTTGTAAGCGAACACGGACTGACTCCCCTTAGCCTTAAATGCCAAAGCCCACCCTGTGAAAAGCCAGAAAGACTGATTCCCAGAGTTGGTCTCCTAGAAGCATCATCCTTCTCTACACACAAACTGCTGCTCAAGCAGCAAGTAAAAGGCTTCCTCCAAGTCCTAGAGCACAACTCTTTTTGGCCCTCTCTCTATTATTTCCCAAACAGAAGGGCCTTAGGGAATGGCAGCCGTGGAAGAACGTGGGGTTTGCCGCTCTGTGAAAGTCCATGCCCATTCCAGGAGGAGCACAGACAACAGACCTGTATTTCTGTCCTAAGCGTTGTCTGAGAGGGGACCCAGTCCTGGGGGTTTCGGAGCGGTTTACAAAATCTCTCACGCTAATACACCAAGAAATGGCAGCAGCAGTTGAACCTCCTTTGCAGCTTAACACTCGCTTCAGAATGAAGCCTCCCAGGGCTTAGACTGCAGAGCTGAGAGCGCTGCTCCCCACCGAGAGCAGGCCTGCTTTAGCCAGCATTTCCAGGAAGTAGAGTGATCACAGGCTCCGGAGACATGTTTACAATGCCCTGCGTTTCTAGACACACAGCTGGAGCAGGAGCAGTTCAGGGATCTGGCTTTTCCAGGGTTCCCTACAAGAGCATCCCATCTACCGTACTACTTCAGCGGTCCTGAGGACACGTCTTCCTGGTGTGACCAAGCTGGTGGCAAATGCCACAAGCCCGTTGTCTCTTAGCAGTCGGTCCCATCTCAGAAGAGAAATTACTAGGTCTTTTAGCTTTGCCTCCTGACCCTCTTGAGTGCCCTTCGTTCCGGAATTGGTTTGAAGGGAAGGCTCCAGCAGCTCCTGTAAGGAGAGAGATGGTTCTAAGCACTTTAATACCACCGGAGACACAGGGATGGGGGACGAATGAAGAGTCTAGATGTCAGGGAATCTAGGTCCATTTAAGCATTGTACCAATCTTAAAGTGTTCAAGACACTAAGGTCACTTCTGTCCTGCTGGATTTAAAGGCTAGTGCAGGAAAGCAAAATGGGAAGTCTGTTATATGAAGTCCACACTGTAAACAGCAAAAACGGAGAGAGTATTCTGGGCTTTTTAGTTAATTTCACTCCCCCTCCCCCCCTTCTGGGCTTTTTAGTTAATTTCACTCCCCCCCCCAAAAAAAAAACTTGCTAAAAATATCCTGATAGCTTTTTCCAGCTCCTCCTCTGTGATTTGACAGCGCTCCAGGAATAATCATTTCACCATTTCCCACCCCTATGGTCAGTTTCTGTTACCGAAGAGACCAGCAGAAATAAAGGGGAGCAAGAAAAACCCTTCCTCTTTAAAAAAATAAAGGGATTCTAGGTAGGATTGAAAGTCCATTTTTTACAAATGTCCAACTGAACGCTGTAATGTTTGATAGTTGTCCCTCTGAGGAAGGTTTGATGCTGCCCCACCTGACGGCTTTAGCTCGCCCCGTTACGCAGTAATGCAAGAGGGAGGAGATCTATTTTTAATGGAACGTGTACAGGAAAAGTAGCTCAGTGTTCCTTGGGTGGGATGGAGTGCGGCTCCAATGCCAGGAGAGGAAGGATATGCACCAAATCGGTGCATACACTTTTCAATTTTTTCATCCACTCAGTAATCATAAGAACATACAAACAGCCATGCTGGGTCAGACCAAAGGTCCATCTAGCCCAGTATCCTGTCAATGCCAGATGCCCCAGAGGGAGGGATCACAACAGGTAATCCTCACTTGATCCGTCCCATCTCCCACTTCCAGAGAAACAGAGGCTAGGGACACCATTCCTACCCATCCTGGCTAATAGCCATTGATGGACTTAACCTCCATGAATCTCTCTAGCTCTTTTTTGAATCCTGCCAAAGTTCTACCCTTCACTGCATCTTCTGGCAAGGAGTTCCACAGGTTGACTGCGCTGTGAGAAGAAAAATAGCTTTTCTGGAAACAGATATTTCAGACTGAGAGGACATTTCCCAATTGATGACGCTCAGTTTGGCAAAGGTCGAGAGCTCTGAAGTGGGCCCTCCAAGTGAATTCCCCCCTCAGCTTCCCACAGCCAGTAGCAATGCCCTATTTGCTGAATAAGTCAGCTGAGAACTAACGCATATCAGGGCACCTATGTGTTACAGACCCCGATCTAGCTCAGTCAAAGGGAAAGCAATTCAAAGACAAGCTTCTGAGTTTGCGTGTTGTTACAAAGAGCCAACCAAGATTTTTAGAAGAACACTGACATTTCTTTAAAGGATTCTCGCAATGCGTTTCTGACAAGCTACCTTACCACAGACCGTGTCCCTTGCCTCTACAGTCCTTTTCCTATTTTTATCTTAAATGTATAAAGGCGTGCCCTATCTCTCGGTTCAGTTCAGCTTTAAACACAGCCCACCCAAACCCCAACACCAAGCACCATCCCAGCCTTACCTGGGGCCACGTTTTCATCCGCCCACTGGAAGAAGCCGCACTGCTGCTCTCTCGGCTTTGGGCACGTGTGAAACTGACGCCCTTTATTGGGTCCCTCCTTCTGGACAGTGCGTGTGATGGCCGGCTGATTGCACTTACAAATCGCGCCGCCCCCTCCTCCGGAGTCGAAACCGTTGCTTCCATGGTGGCCCAAAACTCTTCCTCCTCCAAGGCCCCGGAAACTTCCTTGTGGCCTTTCCCCCAAGGAATCAGAAGATGCAGCAAAGCTCCTGTGGGCTACGCTATTTCCCTCATCTGATGGTTGATCAGCCCAGAGGAAGAAGTTGCAGCTGCCAGCATTGCATTTATAGAACTGCCGGCCTTGGTTGGGCCCTTCTTTACGCACTGTGAGCAGGGCTGCCTCCTCCCTACAATTGCAAACCACTGCGTTGTTCCCAGCGGGAGCTGGGTGAGTCGCCACTCTGGGGGCCCTTGCTGCACCAGCGTTTGTGGGAGCTCTCCCCTGGCCGTTCTCATTGCTGGCCATGCGGTTCAGGGACTGGTTGACTTGTAAGTAGTTAGCTGGCGGGTTGACTGACTGTACCGGTTTGGGCGCGCCTTGTAAATATTTCAGGTCCAAGATCTCTCGCAGAGTCTCATCGCAGCCTCCAATACAGCCAACAAATTCTAGGGGCAGCAGGGGTGGGACGCTACCTCGCTTGAATTTAAATTTCAGCCTAAATGAAAAATTTAAATCCACAGATCAGAATTCTCCCTCTCCAGACCTCAGTGCCTTTGCTGGAACCTTGAGGACCACAATGTTTATTCATTCTATCGGCCCTCCCAGCCTTGCGCTGCACCCACCATTCTCCCAGTCTAGGAGAAATGGACTAGATTTATTTGGATGCCAGTCACTGCTGGTTTTTAATTGGCCGTAGCAATATGAAGCATCCTCAAACTGTCCCAGGACAGGATGTGCTGTGTCTGTAGCAATCCAAGCCCAGCTGAAAAACTGGACATGGCTTCCTATGTAGTAGCACGAACCACTGCAGCTGAGTGGTCCTGAGCGCAGAGGTGTATGTTCTGAGGGCAGTTGTGTGTTTGTAGGTAACTAATGATCCTCACCTATAAACAGGATGGGGTTTACACACAGCACAGACACTGTCGTCCTTGCTGACTTCCAGCACGCAGTCAGGAAACCACACAGCAGCTCTACAGTTAGGATAGTTCATGCAGCCGAGATAAAACCTGGGGAGGAATAAAGGGTTAGGATGTGGAAGAGGAGGAATCCAGGGAGCTCATCAGCGGTCCCATCTGCAGCTATAAACCTTATAGGACTGGGCTCACCAGCCAAACGTTACAGACAAGCATCACGAGGGTGTTTTATACAAGCTACTGTTTGCTTCTAGCATTGCAGCTCACATGAGTAAGCACAGCTCTCGCAGCTGGCGGCATGGGAACAACGGCCTGGAGGCTCAGGGCAGCTGGCATAGAATCAAAGAACACTAGAACTGGAAGGAACCTCGAGAGGTCATCAACGCAGGAGCAAGCATGGGCCTCATGGCAGGACCAAGCACCGTCTAGCTCATCCCTGACAAGTGTCTGTCTAACCTGCTCTTACATATCTCCAGTGATGGAGATTCCACAGCCTCCCTGGGCAATTTATTCCAGTGTTTAACCATGCTGACAGAAGTTTTTCCTAATGTCCAACCTAAACCTCTTCCCTTGCTGCAGTTTAAGCCCATTGCTTCTTGTCCTATCATCACTGTTGAGAACAATTTTTCTCCCTCCTCTTTGTAACACGCTTTTAGGTACTTGAAAAGTGCTCTCATGTCCCCTCTCAGTCTTCTCTTTTCCAAACTAAACACACCTGGTTCTTTCAGTCTTCCCTCCTCGCTTGTGTTTTCTAGACCTTTAACCATTTTTGTTGATCTTCTCTGGCATAACCATCCCCCTTGCCACGGTGGCTTTGCCACTGTGGCAGGGGGAGAAAGGCTGGGGGAGAGCTGTGCACCACACTGAGCCGCAAGGGACCCACACAACATCAGCACACGGAACTGTCGACTGCTTATCTGAGATCACAGACCCGCCGTTCTTCCTGCTCTTCAGGACCATGTCGCTGCCGCACCGTGGACATTTCCGAATGGGAACAGGCATTGCTGGGTAGATTTCCTCTTGCTGTGCCAGTTCTGTCACTTCTCCAAAATACTGAGACAAAGCCTGATCCAGTCTGGAAAGAAACATGCCCACAGTTGCCTTGGTTTCCTCTGCAATGAGCGGTTACATTAGCTCTCATCTTCCATATGCCGGAGTGCTGATGCTGTGCAATCAGTGGTGGCCCGTCAATACAGGCGAACTAGGCAGTCGCCTAGGGCGCCAAGATAAACGGCCATTGAGGGCTTTGGAGGCAGGGGCGCCGATCGCGCGTTTCGCCTACGGCGCCAGTTGCCGGCAGCTCGTCTAGGGCCGCTCCTGAGTGTAACAAGGACTCCCCCCCACTCCTCTTGGAGAGGCCTAAGCACGTCATGGAAATACGATAATCAGAGCCCGGCCTAAGCCCCAGACACAAAGCTAAGCCCTCCCCCTTCCTTGCAGCTGTCCTGGACGACTGCAGAGAGTTTTATGGGCACTCACTTGTTGGCTTTGGCCACAGCTTCGGTGAAGACATGCTTGTACTTCGCGACCTGCTGCCTCAGCACCACCGATTTGTCCTTCTTGCCCTCACAAATCAGCTTCAGATCAGCCTCCAGCTCCGCACGCAGGTCAGGCTTTGACATCTCGTAGCCCATGGAATCGTAGCCTGAAGAATGACAGCCGGCTGTAAGTGGAAGGAAGGGACGGCGAAGACACCTGCATGCCTAACTGCAGTCCTCGGCCTTACCTTCCACCAGCCCCATGCCCAGATGTCCTGGCAGGAACCTCTGATCTGGAGTAAGCCCCACGTACATCCGGGACTTGATGGTCTCGATGTGCTCGGCGTGAGTGGCATCAGTCCCTGAAAGCAGGCGTGCAGTTATGTGATTAGCTAGCCCCGTCAGGGCTCCACAAGCTGCTACTTCCTTTTACCAAGGCAAAATACAGAAGTAAAGGCACAAGACAATTTATCACAATGGGCAAGTACAGGTCCGTGCTGCTGTCGCCTCCTTCTAACCTAATGCCAATTGTACAGGAGCCCGGAGGGCACAACTGGGCCCTAAATAGACAAGGGATGTAAAATCCCATTAGATCACTTAACCAGTCAAACGTTATGCTTAACCGGTTGACTGCTTAAATGGGTTCCTGTGGGTAGGGGCTGCTTGGGTCGGGCTGGGCCCACCACACTTAGCGCAGGTGGGGAGCTGCTTTAGCTCAGTCGGGCCGCTAGTTAACCAGTAAGCATCACCTGGTAAGGGTGATACTTACCGATTCACTGTGTAATCAGTGACATCCCTAGAACAGACGGAGCTGGGAAGTAAAGCTGTGCAGCTCAGCTCCCTGGAGACAATTTGTAGAGTCCTATACAGACTCCAGACTTGGCCTGTGGACCTTCAGGCTGCTTTGAAATGCAAGTGCCCACCCAATTTCTTTTATCTTGTGCCAGTGGTATGCGGGGAATTCCCCACCTTGTGGAAGAGAGAGATCATTACAGCCACAGTGTGACCAGGCAACCATGCAAGGAGAGGTGTGCTCTGCTAAAGCCAGCAGGAGGTCACATGGTCCCATTCGCTGCAGATACTGACCGATGCCGTGTTTCTCCATGAGTGAAATGAGATCGGCTTCCGTGAGGAGCTGGGGCGGGCTGGTCTCCCCATCCACCATCTCCACGGTGCTGGGCTGAAAGCGAGATCCCCTCTCGTACACTGGGAGAACCTGAAGAAGAGGGAGAAGCACAAATGCCAGTGAAACAACCTTCTACAATTTAAGAGAATTTAAAAGCCCGAAGCAGGCCCGTGTCCAGGGGTGCTGCATTGGACTGTTCTGCAGGAGAGTTGTGTCGCACTCCCTGGGGATTAACAGGCTCTGAGCTAGCATGCTCAATGTCTGGGGGAAAAAGTGGACCAAGCATCATTCAATACTGACACCTTCTGGCAAGTGAAGGGATGGCACCAAAAGCTAGCAAAAGGCTATCCTGTCCTGATGGTGCCCAGTGATGCAATGCCTTTCTCGGGAAGTAAAGGAGAGGGAGGGGATTAGGGAACTGATCAAAACTGCCAAAAGGAGCTGCAGGGATCTTCAGGCAACAGATGAACCTCCAGGTAGGATAATGATTGGAACTAGCATGTTCTTCATGGAAGTCCAACAGGTACATCTGACCACAGAATTTAGCCCTTTAGCATTTACACAGAGAAGAGTTAAGGTAAGCTTAAATACTGAGTAACATTAAGAACATAAGAACAGCCATACTGGGTCAAACCAAAGGTCCATCTAGCCCAGTATCCCATCTGCCGACAGTGGCCAATAGCAGATGCCTCAGAAGGAGGGATCACAACAGGTAATCCTCACCTGATCCTTCCCCTGTCACCCACCTCCAGAGAAACAGAGGCTGGGGGCACCATTCCTACCCATGTTGGCTAATAGCCATTGATGGACCTAACCTCCATGAATCTATCTAGCTCTTCTTTGAACCCTCTTAAAGTCCTTCACCGCATCCTCTTGCAAGGAGTTCCACAGGTTGACTGTGCGCTAAGTGAAGTAAAACTTATTTTTGTTTGTTTTAAACCTGCTGCCTACTAATTTCATTTGGTGACCCTTAGTTCTTATGTTGTGGGAATAAGAAAATAACTTTTCCTTATTCACTTTTTCCACACCCATCATGATTTTATAGACCTCTATTATATCCCCCCTTAGTCTCTTTTCTAAGCTGAAAAGTCCAAGTCTTTTTAATTTCTCTTCAGATGAGACCTGTCCCAAACCCCTAATCATTTTTATTGCCCATTAAATCCAGTTGCATCTTGTAACGATCCTTAATTTAGCACCTCTCATACACTTTGATCAAGGCTGTTACCTTGTCACTCCACTTCTCGTAAGGATAGACATCCAGATAGTTTCTAGCCAAAATCATTAGCCCATGAGCCACAAATCGCTCATTAGCAATGTCAATCTCCACAGTTGTTTCTTGTCCCTTGGCATCCTGGGAGCAGCAAGCCAAAAAATGGCGCACGATGAATTCATATAGTCGTTGTTCATTCCCCTAAGACAACACACGAAGAGAAATGGGTAAGGAGTTTCCATCAAATAAAAGATACCGCGCTCATAAAAAAGCTAAACTTAAAGTCCTCCTTTGGAACACAAGTCCCTTGGGACCAGAAGTGAAGACATGAAATGGAAACTAGCAGAAGTGCAGAGAAGAACAAGAGATGAAGGTTGTACTCCTAGCTCTCTCACTGACCTAGTTGGGCAAGTCATTTAGGCTCTGTGCTTTAGTTTTCCCATCTATGTACCGTCTTTTAGCGAATATACCCCGCACCCTAATATACTTTGCAGTTTTTGAGTTATCAAATCATGTATACCCCGTGCATGAGTATAACTCGCAGGGTATACAAGGCTGTGCCAGGGGTATATTTATGGCGCGGAGGGGGAGGGGGGCAGGGGAAATTAGCCAGCCACTCACCGCCCAGTTCCTACACAGCCTCCAGGTGGGGGAGCACTCACTGCCTGGTTCCTGCGCAGCTGAATGAGTGCTCCCCCTGCCCCTTCCTACGGCTGTGGAGGAATTGGGTGGTGAGCTGGTGTGTAAAAAAAAAAAAAATGTGTACACCCCGCACCTGAGTATACCCCGCGGGTGTGTGCGCGCACGCGCGTGCACGAGGGGTTTGTAAAAACAAATAAAACCCGCGGGTTATATTTGCTAAAATACGGTAATACAAGTACCTGTACACCTGTGTTAAGCACTGAAATCTTTGCATGATTTTACTTCCCACCACAGACATGAAGTATGACAAAACATCACTTGCTTCAGGCTGTCAAGCAGTTTAGGTCCCTATGCCTTTTTAAAAGTGCCAGTAAGGAAAACACCTGATATGCCATGAAAGAAAGATTTCCTCTGCATTGTGACTCAGGAGGAAAAGGAATCTCTAGTGGCAGTGTAAAACAAGTAAATCTCCACTGAAATCTGATGTGGACTTCAAAAGTCAAACTCTCAAGTAGATTAAGATGCATATTTTAGCTTAGTGATAGAAATGCAGCCGTGTTAGTCTGGTGTAGCTGAAACAAAATACAGGACTATGTAGCACTTTAAAGACTAACAAGATGGTTGTGACTCTTTTCTTCCACTATTTGATCTGAAGAAGCAGGTCTGGCCCACAAAAGCTCATCATCTAATAAACCATCTTGTTAGTCTTTAAAGTGCTACATAGTCCTGTATTTTATTTTAGCTTAGATTTTCTATTGTTTATTTTTCAGCTCGTTTTCTGTGGAGAAACATTTATGATCAGATAGCATATTTCAGACAGGATCTTTCAGGAGAGAAACCTACTTTTGAAGCTATAGTTTAATTTCATTTACTAGTAAATGTACAACAAGCCCCTGTCTGGCATAATCATTGTCTTACCTGTCACTGATAAGGTGTATTGTCAATAGCAGAAATCATACTAATGACTTAACTAACTCCTCTCTGTGTGAGACTCACCTGCAGGTCACCTGTGTATTTAGTGGGGTGAATGGGAGGGTGAGCCTGATCGGATTTGGTCCCATTCCGGGGGGTTGGCCCACCCTGGTCTAGAATCCTTTGTGCAAAGGCTCCCCAGTTGATGTTTTGGGTCTGCTGTTGTACCAAGGAAGTGAGGTTTAGGTCTTTGGGGAAAATGTTGGTCTCAGTTCGGGGATAGCTTATGTACCTTAGAGACAAGAAGAAAAACAAATAATCACATTGGACACTAACCAGTCACCGTTCCTCTCATGGGTTCTTCCCATTTCTGATTAAAGGTCTGCTGGTTTGTAAAAGCTACTTAATTCCAGCACATCCAGGTCTGGAATTCTTACCCTTGAGTATAGAGCTTTTCTGCTACTCTCATGGTTTCTTTGGCATTTATTTTCAGTTTGCGGGAAGCCAGCTTCTCGAGTTCCTGTGTTATAAAGAGACAGAAAAACAGGAATATTCACCGCCCAAACCTGAACATTCACAAAACCTCACATTCCATGTGCCTTCCAAAGGAAAAAACACAAGTCTTTTTAGCATCCTCACTTACCACAGTGTCCAGGGCCACGGGCCTCCATTTGCTCTTCGGTTTGCTCCCAATCTCGACAACCGTTGCTACTGGATCCTAAGCACAAAGCAAGCAGAAAGGAAAACCACATGTGACGGCGCGTTGGGGGTTCCCCGTCTCCTGCACCCCGAAATGGCACAAACAGACTGCACCAGCCAGTGGAATTGAGGGTGGTTTATTGCTCCTCCAGCACAGCGCAGCACAGATGTAATCTGGTTACAGGAACTGGGCTAGGATGCCTCAGGCCCCCTTGAGATGGGGGAGACTGGGCCCCTAAACTCCAGCCCCTTCCCCTAGGCTCTCCTCCATGCCCTTCCACAGTCTAACTAAATTCCCCTCCAGCCCTGCCCCCGCAGTCAGGGCAGCATTCCACCTTCCTTTGTTCCTCTCCATGGGGGGTGTCTGGCCACTGGTTTGCATAGTGACTCATCCTGTTTTGCTGGGTCGTGGTCCCCACGACAGCCAGTGGGGGTTCCCCCAGAGCCAGCAGCATAGAAACCAGCCAGGTACCCCCACTACGTCACAGTTCTCCCCCCTCCGAGAGCGAACTGAGCAGGGTCACTCCGCTCGTGACCTAGGGAAGTTCGGGTCCTCTGCGTGGGAACCCGCCCCGGGGACATGGGTGCTCCCCTTGACTCAGGCCGGCCGTGGCAAGGCCCCACATGAGCTGGCTTCCCTCTGTCCACTCGCCGCCCCGCTCCAGGGCGACTGGCGCAGGCCTGTCCTCGGGGGTCACACCCACCCTTCCGCTGGCCTTGATCTCTGGCCAGGGTCTCTCGGGCCGGGGCCATGAGCCCAGCGAGCCTTCTCTGGACAGCCAGGGCGGCTTCCACCCCCGATGCTCCATCCAGGGAGGACTTCCCCTCCAATAACTCTCTCAGCAAGCCCAGAGGGCCCTCTAGCTGGGGTAGAGACCCCCAAGCCGCTTTCCTCCTG